TAATTTCTCTGAATAATAAAAATTCCTTTATTGTAAAAATATTTCGCGTTTGATTCTTATTACACATTATTCTCTGTTATATACCCGATGTCATAAGGAAAGGATACTTTGTTTTTCATTTTCTTTATCATCTTTGAATCACTATTTCCGCGAAAGCAGAACATCACTTTTCGAACGGCTAACGTTTTCTTCGTGAGAACAGAAGTTACGACTTCTTTTATGACTCGTTCAGGAATCTCGTAGACAGTGGAGATCGAGTCATACTTCATTGCTCAGTTTAAACGAGAACGAGGTATGAATCGTTTAAGTGATTATTTTTAGCTTTCAGTAACCGTGTTACTTTATAAAAAAAAAAAAAAATCACCGTGATTTCTTAACTGAATACATAATCGAACATATTTTACTGCTTTTCTCGCAAGATCATTGGGATTCCCATCGCTCATTCTGTTTATTCCATTTATTATCGGAATTTCTTGAAGGATTCAGTGTAATCTGAATTGTCACATTTGTATATCAATACCGTTAAGTTGTTATTATTATTATCATCGATATTATTAATGGATAAACATTTATTTATCATACAGGCTAGACTTCAAATAATTTTTAAATAATTTACGTCTCTATAGTTAACCCATTCGTGCTCAAATTTACGTTGTAGCGCACCCCGTAAAGAGGGTAGTGCTCCGAGCGGCCACCAGAGTAGCGCCCTCGTCACTTCCCTCGTCACCATCCCTTATAGACTCCCCCACTATCTCACTCCCCCACTCCATCAGTCTCGCTGGCCCAGGGGACCCCCAGCAAGGATAAAAAGAGGGCCGATCTACGATTTTTATGGACAAAAACGGATACTTGCTCCAAGACGCTCCCTTGTGTGGACATCGAACGGACAAAAATCCTGCCTGGCTCCGACTTTGCTCCCTGGCGTGGACAAATCCGGACCACGAGGCAACGTTTAAATCCGTCTACCCAATTAACGTTTCCGCGCCCTTTTGGTGAACGTGCGATAGTGACCGAGTGACAAGGACAAACTCGAAAACAGACGTTTAACGCTGCAGACGAGTGCGGTAGCTCCGATAATAGTGGCACAGTGTTCTCGTGAGGTTGCGATATTTAAGTGTAGTCGGCCCGAGTAACACTCAAGTGGAACATATGTGTCTCACAGGTAACGAAAGGGTTAAACGTATTACATATTATAAATTTCTACAGAGATAAAGAGAAAAGAAAGAAGGGAATTTTTAGTCTAAGGCAGTTCACCGAGGAAGAGAAAAATGTGAAAAGGTGTACCCTTATGTTCTTCTTCACATTCTGAAAGGTGAGGTAAGGATTTACCATCGGGGAGAGAAATTCGGGACGAGCCGAATTAACTTTTAAGACGCCGCGCCGATCGAACGACATTATGTAAAACAGATCGAAACGAGGTAACCAATTAATAAGAGACATTCACCAGGAAGAATTTTCGTACCCGTTGATATTTATGACGAGGGGCCTTTCTCTTCGACGAAACTTTACATCTGCCGAAGATCGTCCAGACACGGGATTCCACGTGATTAAAAATCGTGTACCTCGTTTTACACTTTCATTCGTGGGAAAGGTGTTCGGAAAGTGGTATCTTCGGACTCGTCCAATCACTTACGGAAGCGATTTGAAATACCGCACGGTTAAAATGGTACAAAACCCTGTAGGAAGTAGCTTTTGCAATTTTCTTTATGTGTTGTTTCCGCGTCGAATAGATACGCGGCTCGCTTAAAGTTTCTTGCAATTTTTCAATCAATCACTTCTTCGTTTGATAAATGTCAAGCTGGTATTGCGTGCGTTCTTCAAGTTTCAGTTTGTCGTTGGAGAAGATTAATAATATTTGAAATTGACAGAGCGAACGTTTTGCTTTAGAGAATTATTTTATTGCAAATTGGGCGATTATTGGAAAATAATGTATTTCATTTTAGAAACTGACGATTAGACCGCGGATGTTCGACCGTATCGAGGACTCGAACAATGGAGCCCTACCATATTCACAAATAATATATTTTCCGTAAATTGGTCTCTCTCCTCGCCATCAGCAAATTGTTTTATTACCTTAGAAAGTCGAATACCCTACATCTGGACACCACATGCACTACACTCATAAACCACCTTCCGACCTCAGGATTTTCCCATCCCCTAATATAACAATTTTAGCAACAATTTCCCCACTTCGACTCCACCAGACAAACCCTACCACACGTCCCAAACACCAATCAACCGATACTCCCACCACTTCTCACACATTTCACACCACCAATCACTGTACACATCGAACTTATAAAAACACAAACACACACAGAGATTCGATCAGAGATTCTATCACCAACTTTGAGACATCACGAAAAATAAAAAGTAACAGTCACCACCAATCAGCCAGTATTTGTCTATCGTGTAAAACATATATCTCTTTTTCACCCACCACAAATCTCATCTACAAATTTAAACAGCACTCGTGCCATTAGTTTGCCGCGAGAGCAGTTCGTGAATTCTTTGCGCACCGGTCGAACTACGCATCGCGTCGCGAAGTTCGCAAAACACGAACAGCGGATTTTTATGCATTTCTGGAAAATTTAGTTGGACAATTTTATGTTAGACAATTACTTTATTATAAACTGGGCGATTATTGGAAAATAATGTATGTTATTTTGAAAACCGACAATTAGACCGCGGATTTTTATGCATTTGTGGAAAAATATAGTACTCGTTATAATGTTTACTGAACAAAACAATTGCCTATCTCTCAGCTTCTATTTTTTTAATTATACTCATAAAAATATGAATTTGCATAAAAATCTGCAGTCCATTGATAATGGAGATAATGAAATTTGCAGATTTCTATTTTCTTTTTGTTGCGTTGCTTCCACTTCAAATGTGCGGTTAGTTTAGTTTCCTGAAAATTTTCAACCAATCATCTCTTCGTTTAATAAATGCCAAATATTGCGTGCACACTTCAAACTTGAGTTTGATTTCGAGAAACATTGATAATATTTAAAAACGCTAATGAGACTATTTCGTCTTCGACGATTAATTTACTATAAATTACGCGAATCCTGATAAACGTGTGAATATGTAGCAGAAGCAACGAAACTCTCAGATTTCTCTTTTCCCGTGGCAAGTTAAAGCTGCCAAATGTGAATAATACGTTCGTAAATTACGAAGGGGAAAGTGCATGCCAGAATTTTGGCAGTGCACACCTGTGGGCGACGGCTATTTAAACTATAATGAAAGAAGTATTTACCGACGTACATAATGTCAATGGAGCTGTTGAATAAACGAAATCGCCACCTTTTAACTTCAATACAAGCCTTCTTCTCTCTTCCTACGCGCAAGGAAACTCTCGTTTCATCGTGCAACGGTTTCTAATTTACGTTCGTGCACGCCGAAAGAACATCCTTGTAAAATTGAACAAATTTTACCTTAACTTCAATTCTCATATATTATAATAAACCACATTGTTATATCTAACACTACAATATATGCAGGTACATATTCTAAATACTTTGAATATAACTTTTGTAGGAATAGGATTTTATTAAGGTGTCTATTCCGCTAGTTACAGAGATAACACGACGAGTAAGACTAGTTCGCACCGCCTACACAGGCCTTGTCGTATCGTATCGTGGCTTCTTGAACACTTCTTCCACACTCACGCCAAACTGACAGACTGACTTGGTTTTCGGCTGCTTTGCGACTGTTCATTGCTTTTATCATGCCTGTTTATCGCAATCCGAAGTAAACAGAATCAGTCCTCGATGGTAATTTCAAGTTGAAGAAAAGAGCAAACGAGGCGAACTTGTGTCTCGAAACCGTGAAAACATTGTCTGCTGAGCGATTCATTTGTAGTAGCTTCAGTTTCTCAGGCTTGCTCGACCGATATAAAACAGATCGAGCGTAAATCCGCCTAACGTTCCATCCAATCGCCATTGTCGTGTCGAACAGTCCCGGGGAGACATGCACCACGTTACACTTGTATACCTTATAATGTCTCTATCACGACTCGATCCACGATGTTGCATTACACCGGGCTGATTGCTCACCACCTGTACCACCGATTGCTTCGGGAGGACTTGTCCGTAAATTGAAACTCTTTGAATCGGTTGCAACTGTCTGCGATAATCGCTTACCAGGAACATGAGTTGTGGATAAGTGTACGTGAAAGCCTGAAGCAGATTATTGGAACACGAGTACCTGGGGGATTATGTGGATGTAGGTTAAATCGATTAATCTGTTGTTGGATATATATATATAGATTTACAGGTTTGATCGTTTCGGTGGGACGGTGAATTGATTCTTGGGTGATTC